AATATATTTACTCAAAGTTACCAGGACCTGTTTAGGAATGTTTTTACTAGTCCACGGCCGGAGACCCATCAAACTTTATTCTTCACAACTGAAAATCTCAGCAAGTATCTCTACGGGATACAAGTTCTGATGTTCCCTAGAGATTTATTCATCGTGTCAAGTGATTATATTTACTCAAAGTAAGCAGGACCTGTTTAGGAATGTTTTGGTTCTCGATACCGACCATTAGCACATGGCAGTGTTAGAAACCCACTTCACAAAACTTGTAAAATTCGATTATCTTGATCTATACAAATAAACAAATTTTATTGTTTATGTGACTTATTAAAGGTAAAACTTCATGAGATGCGCTTTTTTGTGGTTTTACTGGCGGGATTCTGTGTAGCTTGTCGAGTTTCAAGAGCTCTGAATAAACTACACCAAAAGAAAAAAACACGATTTACATGTTAAAGTTTCCGGTAATTGACTCTATTGTTATTTGATTTCAAGTGGCTAGATTGCTTTCAATGCTTAGAAGTTTTTCATTCTTGTTGATCAAACTGCTCTTATAATCCTTTGACGAAGACATGATGCGTAACAATAGCAAGAATCATTCTCCGCACGCGACCTGCGAAAGGTCCAACCTCTAATCGAAGAGCAATAGTAGCAATGATATCGATCTTAAATTTAACTAATCCAGGACTGTAATCTTAAACATGCGTAAAAGCTTCAATACATTTAATTGGTTTTTGCGGTGGAATTCAATCAGTGCACCTCACAACCAACCACGTGGACTCAATAATTGCCATCAGTTTTTCATACCTCGGGGCATTTTTTTAATGATACTAAGACGAAACGAACTATTTACTGAACAAGAGGTCTTTTGTCTATGAATATTCACGAAGAGGAACGTCGACAGAAGCTGTAGGGGTCGAGTGCTGACAAGCCACAAGCAGTGCTAATTCGAGTTCACAATCAGTCAACATTGGACTTTTGAGTTGAATTGATTTGATCCAATCTTCAAACAAGTGTCGACAAGCTATACTGTTTTCGATTTTAGCTAAACTTGGGAAAAATGCAAATTGAAGGTATGTTGAGATCACCGATTGTGCTGCGGTGCTGTTCAAAACTATCAGACGCCAGGAAAGTTATAGGAGAAGTGGTTGGAATTTTTTTCTACAGTATATTTGAAATTAATTATTACTCATTAATTAGTATAAAATTATGAAATTAATTATTCCTTCCTTCCCTCCTTCCTTCCTTCCTTCCTTCCTTCCTTCCTTCCTTCTGATTTACGAGGCTATTTAATGTTTGAAATCTTATTACTATTTCACGGGTTAGCAAGGCAAGCTACTCCAAGTGCATCCGGGACATAACTAAAGATACATGTCCGTGATTGTTCGTGATCAGAACGAACGGGTATCATTCTACAGGGTTATACACTAAGGTACAGACTGACTGCACGTGTATACTCATATTTAAGATCTTTGTCGAAAAGTAATACTCTTGTCATTTAGTAATTTCTTATACTAATAGTCAATTAAGATCTCCATCAGATAGGAATCAATGCAGTACTGTCTGTAGTTTGTAACTATTGTTGTTTCTTGGCCTTGAGTGGCCTTGGTAAATTAAAGTTAAAATAAAACTTTGGCCTTTTTTGAGCATTAAAAAATCTTAATAGAAAAATATAATATATTTCTTGTACTAAACAAGTTCTAATTGAAAGCCAGATTCGATTGTTTTGAATGAACCGCGTTTGTACATATTTTGTGCTAGTTGTATTTTCTCCGACGTTTCTCTGAACACCAAGTGATAGGTTTCTTATTACCTATCTCAATCACCGAAGACGACCCCGATTGACTCTCAAGGCACGCAAGCCCGGAATGCTTTAAGGTGCTGCAGCAATTGATGTTTACAGCGCATGTTGCCTCAAAGTTAAAGCTGAAACTCTGCATTCAAGTCTGTTGTTAAAACAGACTACAATCTCGACAACAATCAACCAGATTTGTATAGCTTCACATGGGTTTTAGAGGGTTTTGGTTCGCTCGCTACAGGGGGTAGCTTAAAGAGCTGCGTTTGATTGAATCAGAATTGCATTAAAGTAAAGCATATTTCACGCATTACGTGATTCAAGCGTTGACTCTAAAGTATGTAAGAAGGAAAGGAAAAAAATCAGTGTTCCTTAAAGAAATATGGAAAGCGAATTTCGAATCTCTTGGGTAAGAGATGGAGTTTTCTTTGCTACTATTGTAAAAAAAACTGTGCTCATTGCACAAACGAAAGTGGATTTTAGATGGGTTACGGCAAGTGGCTGTGGTCACGCCCACCCACCCACAGCGCGCCAAATGTTCCGAGATCATTCAACGTTTAGTCACGCCTTACTCTAATACCTTTGCTAAAAGTAAATTGTTATTTAGTGTTGATAACGTCACTATGATCATAAAAACTAAACACACCCACTACACCAAATTCAACCTTCACTCAAAACCATTCCATAACCAATAAGAATATATTAACTATAGTAAAAGTTACGATAAACAATCAATAAAGTAACCATGTTCACCTTTGCTTTGCTCCAGTTTCATGTAAAGTTTATTTTTTCTTTGTTTACGACAAAGACAAGGTGTCATGATTGCCATTAAGAACTGCCATCGAAGAGAAGAAAATCTGTTTTATTGTTTCTTGATTGCATTGTTTATCTTAAAAAGCGGATCGTTCATGGACACAAGGTGGTATATTGCATGCCTCAAGGGATATATCATGCACATGTTTATTTTAATAAAGATCGAGATGAAACATTACATGGTCTTTCAGATGCAGTAATCTTTCCTTCTTCCCTTCCTTCCTACTCTCCTTCTTTTCTATTTTTCCTCTTTCCTCCTTTCCTAATTTCCCTCTTTCTTTCCTAGCTTTCTTGAACATGCAAGCATAGCGGGGATTGGTCTATTGCTAAGTAAAATCTATACTCAAGACAGGCTCACGGGAAAGCAGCAGGAAAAGTAGCCAGACTTTTTGTGGGAGCTCATAAAATGAGCTTTTTGTTCTTTTCTATTCTCTATTAGACTATTTAATATTCTTTAAATTGTTATTTTGATGAATAATTGTTATAAATTTTGCGAACAAGTAAAATAAAGATTAAATTTTCCTTTTTGGACCAATCAGTAGGCTTATACTAAAACAACTAGACCTCACGTCGTCATAGTCTACACGTCTATATCGATTTCCGGTCTAATGCGCTATTGACACGTAGACTATTCAGACTAGTCTAAATCAAATGATGTGCTCAACCTATCCCAATGATTGTTTCGATATTGATATCTACAAACTGTTTCAACAAAGAATTAGAAAAAGTCTATTTATATACAATGAGTGATTTCCAAAACCCTAAAAGTATTAAACCAGACTTATACATTCCTAAAACCCTTAATAATGAAAACTTTATTGAGTTTTTCCTCGAAATGCAATCGTAAATCTCGCTACGTATAGGTAATTTACAATTGGCTACTTGAATCGAACACAACTGTGACAAATGACAAAAAGAAAAGAAAAGAAAAAGAAAAAAAGGGGGTATTATATCTGTAACACTATAGGAAAAAAATGAAGACTATTAATGCTGCATTAACTGGACTCTTCCATTCTTTGTTAATAATAATAATAATAATAATCATCATCATCATCATCTCATAAATTCTAAAGCGCTATTTACATTTGCTGATCAACAGCGCCGTTTCAATTA